TATGGTTTTCAAAGACATATTTTAGAGTCAGAGTAAAATAAATCCATTGGAAAACAGTTTTTAAAGAATAATGACTAGAATGACTAGAATAATGACAAAAAAATGAAAAAATTTCAAAAAATGTTTCACAATTTTTTGCGGATTTGCTAAATTGTTGATTCCTAAAATTGCGCTAAAAAACTCCAAAAACTACCTTTGCTTGAGTAAAACTAAATTCAAGGCTTAAATTAGGCTAAAATAAGTTATTGCAATTACTAACTACCTTACTAATTAGCTCGAAATTAGACCAAAAATCAAAAACTCCTGGTTTTTCTCAACAGTGTGAGAATTTTTTCAAAATTTTAAATGTCGCTTGAATCCCGACTGAAAGTATTTTTATTTTAAATGTCACTGAACCCTGTCTGATGATTATTTGTGGCTGCTGATTTTTGGTGGAAAACAAAAAATTGAAAAAAAAAACTTAACATACCCGAATACAAAGTTCCTCCCCATTTTCAATGGTCGGAAAAACAATGTATAGTAGTCTACTAGAGGACCAAATTTAAAATTTTTTGTAGTTTTACTTTTGCCAATTTCCGGTCTAAGTGACTGTTTTTTTAAGTGCTAATTGCTTCCGATCCAACCGTTAGAAATGGTTCAAACTATAACACTTGTTACAGCCGCATGGTATCAGTTAGGTGTTTACTGGCCTCAACTGATGATAGAGAGGCTTCAAGGGATGGGAAAAAACTAGTAGAAGCAATAACCGTCAATTGAACAAGTTCAAGTTTTTTTTTGAAATCGAGTAGGGATGACAAGGACTATCGATTTTCAGAAATTAAGAAAGACGAATTTGAAATCTTGTCTTCTTCAATTTGGTTTTATACCGACTATGATTGAACAATCATTTTAAAGATGGATGCAGAGCTTGGACCCTATGTCATTAACCTGTCCAGATAATGCAATCAATCTGCTGCTTTCTGTTTAATCAAGGTTTACTTTTCTTTTCCCAATGTTTTCTTTATGTTTTCAGATAAATATAACTTTTTTCTTTTGTTTTAAGGTCTCAAACTACGTACTTCGTTTGGCAGTGCTCTGTATTCCGATTGGTTTAACTGTCCCCTCACTGTTTCTGGCGCCTCACTGTTTAATTGTTTTTACATGCATAATAACCATTAACAGTGAGAAATAAATTTTTTCTTACCTATTAGTTTTGTTGAGGATTCCGCAACGAGCGAATATAGGTAGTTCTTTTGAACTCTGAATTAAGCGAATTCCGCAAATGTAGGTGCTCTCCGCAAAAAATTGCAGATTTTACTGAAAATTTGCGGATTCCGCTTACAATTTGCGGATTCCGCTTACAATTTGCGGAATCCACTAACAATTTTTTGGATTTCGTTTACAATTTACGGATTCTACCAACAATTGGGAATTCCGCGACAACTTGATATAATAAGTAAATGTCTTATTATATGCTTATGGATTCCACAAGCTGTTCCAGATTCCGCTCATTTTTTCTGCCTTCCACACAAATTTTGTAGCAAATTCTGCAAAGTTGACTGTTTTTGGAGGTAATTTGAGCAAGAGTGTTTTAGCTTTTTGTTCAAGGAATCCAAAACAGCAAAAAAAATTACTGAAAAAGCAATATTGCGGATTCCGCAACAATTCTGTTTTTGGCCCATTGCGAAACCCGCATACATATCACAAACTTGGCAGTTCAGACTCGTAATAACGCAAAACGAGTTTTTTACGCAAGCATTTGCATGCAAAACCTAAAATTTTGTGTGCATAACGTAGTCCTGGATACACGAATGTGGGATTTTTTCTTTCTAAATGATATGTATTTTATGAAACTCTTCAGGGTTGATATATCATAATCAAGCTCGCTTTTTAGTTCTGATTTGAACGAATTAAATTTTTTCAGAAGAGTTTTACCTGTGCCTTGAAAAAGTGATTGGAAAATATTGATTCTTAGTCTAATTTGTTGGCTGAGTTGGCTTACAGTTGCTCTTTTATGCTTAAATTGAGGCAATGAAAAAAACTTAATATTTAACAAATTAGATCAGCTAATAAATATTAAATTTTCTGCAAATAAAATTGATAACTATTGAAATTTTGATTTAATTTTTTGTTGCTCTAGTCAGTTTGCTGCGAAACAATTTGTCAAGTTTGTTTATTTTGATATGACTGCCAAATACGCATAAATTATTGCTTTTTGTTAGATTCTTTTGTCACAACGCGCAGAAAATTTCATTCTAACTTGAAAAAAAAAATTTTCTGTAGTTTTAAGCTTGGGAACCTTGTATGCTTCGTGCACAGTAACCTGCTATTCCTGTTATTACTTTGGATTGGTTTTCCGGATTCGTAGAAGGCTCAGACCTAGTGTTTTCTCATAGTAGAACTTCGACCTTTCATTGGAATGACCAAAATGGTTTACTGAGCCCGTTCAAAACAGAATTGAAACGTTTCTTTTGCGTTTTTTTTTTCGAAAAATTTAAGGAAAAAAAACAGCCCAAAACTATTTTATTTTGACCCATGGACGCCCTTGTAGTTTTTATGGATCAGTTGATCAAAACTTCATGTCATAAAAAATTATGATACACTAGGCTTCAATAAATAAGTAGACACTTTGAAAAAAATTTCACGTCAGATGTGAAGTTTTCTAAAACATTTCTATTCATGCTTGCATTTTTAATTTTCAATTTAGCAAATTGATTTCGAATCCAATTTTAAAAAAAGATTTCGAGCTGTGGTTTTACGCAAGCTTGGCTGGTCATTGCCGAAAGTCGCATAAAAAAAGGGATCTTATCCTTCGACAGCTGCAAAATTGTAAAAAAAAATGAGAAATAGTGGGTTTGAGGATGCAGAATGATCAGGGCGTCCAATGAAACTAAACGAAAGAAATCGCCGGCAATTCATGAGTTGGTTGAAAAAAGATAACGCTCTATCCCTCGAAAAAATGAGCATGTTCATTAACATTTTTAGCAAAAAAAAACTATTTCCGAAATTACTTTGATCAGCGGATTACATAAAATGGGGTTTACAGGAAGAGCAGCAGCAAGGAAAAAAAATCTAAAGTAGCAACACCAAGCTTTACGTTTAAAATGGGCTAAGGCTAAAAAACAAATCTCAGTAGAGCAATGGCAGAAGGTCGTTTTCAGGACGGCTGCCGTTTTGGACGGTTGAGTGATGGCCGAGTTGATGCCTGGCGAGAGCGTGAGAATTGTTATGCTCTCATAAACACAACTACACGAAGTTATAGTCGGTTTCTTTTAATGCTCTGGGGTGAATACCAACCAATGGGTGGTGTCTTCTTCTCACAACGCCTCAATATTTACAGATACCTCGTATATCGATTAATTTGAGCGGCCGGTAAATGACAATTTGGGTGATAATATGTTCCAAGACGACAATGGTTCTGTTCATTGGGCTGAGATGGTCAATCAGTGGATTTCGGGCCATAGGGTCATTAGAGAAGACTAGTTTACGCATAGTCCAGACTTGAATCCATTCCAATAGAGAAGGTTTCGGCGCATATGAAACGGCAGCTTAGACCTATGAAGTTGAACGCCGAAAATTAAGAAAAAACTGTACTTTCTTTTGGGAATCAATTCCGTATTCGTTTTTTAAAAATTTGTACCAATCGTTGCCGAACCGTGTAAATATCTCTTGCAAAAATCGGGGTTTCAAGGTTATTCATGATACTTTTTGAGGGTGTCAACTTTTTTCTATTGCCCTGTGTAAGATTTTATAGGTCACCAGGTAGTCTAATATCTGATGAGTGGTTCGAAAATCCTAAAATCTCACTGACTCATAGTAACAGCATGAGTCACAAAGAAGGCGGAAGGCAACTTCTTCAAACCTAGCTTAGTGATGCAAAATGAAAACGGTAATGACATAGTGGAGGTATTGCTTATGCGGCTGTCCTAATATTCCCAATTCTTTGGGTTCAAAACTCGTTGGACCCAAAATTTCCTTAAATTTTTAAAAACCTAATTGTTTTTATAAAATAGTTAAAATGATATTTTTAATTGGAAAACGAAAATTTATTGCAAAGTTTCAGAATTTGGACTCTTTTTTTACTTTAGGGGGCAAAATAGGAAACTCGCTGATATTGAACCAGAGGATACTAGAAGCTGTAGTCGTGAAAACACCAAAGAAAAATGTCGGAAGCCCTTGATCAAGTTTTACTTTTGTGGCTTTGTGACTGAAAAAGTAAAAGTTGAGGCATTGTGACTGCGTTTTTACTTGTGAGAGATCTTCATAGACGTTTCGAGAAAATTCCTTTTAATATTGTTTTTACAACCAAAAAGTTAAGCAATTTCTCACCCATACTGAAAGGACGTCTCCCTGCGTTTACTCGAAGTAATATAGTGAACAAAGTTTTCTGTCCAAGCTGCTCAGTTAGCTTGCTATGTTGGACAAACTGTTCATGACTCATCCACCGGGCTTCAACCACCAGGATTTTCAATAAACAAAACTTTTTAACTTTTTCGAGGAACGCGATTCTAAAACGCGTCTTAGAATTGTTAACCAATTTCATCCTCAAGATGTTTGAAGCGAGAAATCAAAAATTTTAAAACTGTGTCAGGATGAAGTCTGTCAATATAAGCTTCCCGAGTTGTATCTAATTCAACTTGACATACTTATAATCGGCTTAGTTACCGCGCGATACAAAAAACACTTGTGAAAAAGCGAGGTGATTTGAGAAGAAAGTTAAGTGATAGTTACAAAGTACAATTTATAAAAGTAGATGCTATATCTTTGATATCATTATTTACATACAGAGACTTCTCAACTAGTGTAGTTGAATGTTGTGGTCCAGACTGTTCCGGGTTATTCAGGATGAGCTGCTTCCAGCTTTTGGACCAACCTGGGAAAATTCTTATCATACTTACTGTTGGTAGAGAGATCGAAATAAAATTTGCCTGCCAGATACATTCCAAGTTTCCCTTTGGGCTCGCAGTTCTCCTGTACGCGAAGATAGACTATGTTCTTTGAGTCAGTGTACTGGGCATACTCGAACTCCAACATGCAATTTTTGCTTTTTGCATACGCGTCCGAATAACAGCAAATAACACAACTAGCATTGTCCACTGCTTGCGCCATTTCTTCAACAAGACCCTGACCTGTGTGCATTTTATCCTCGTCTATCCAGATTTCGACTTTGATCTTTTTGCGAAGATCTGCCACCATTTTTTTCACGACGGCTTTCTCGTTGTGCGAATAACTAATCATTATATGCTTTTTCGGGCTGTTTTCCATCAAATCTTCTGGATTGACCAAATTCATTTTTGAACAGTCAAGATCATCTCCACCATCAGTGTTCATCTTTGTTGTTATGTTACGAAGTGATAGGGGAATGTCGTCAGCTTTATCTGGGGATAACTTTTCAGCTTCATCTGATAATAGTTTGAAATGAATGAACTTATAAACCATCGTCAAACAAACTTGCGTTTGATTATCGAAAAGAAACTATTGGCTAGAAGCGTCGTGTTTCTGATACTTTTGAGTACAGTGAAAGATCGAAAGGACCCGGGTTGATCGACATACACCGAAGTTGCTTATCATACAGTTTCATACATGAAGTGTATGGAAAAATGTTTGTCATACAATTTTCATACAATTTCATAAAATGGTTGAAAAAAGATTTTAACTAGTTTCTGCGGCTTTTGATTCTAATAAAAACAGTCTGGTGAGGAAAAAACCGAGATTTTATTTTTTGAAAGAAATGTTTATTACACAACTCCCATTTGAAAATGCCCCTAAAATTTTTTTGAGTTTTTTTCAACAGCAAACTAGTTTAACACACAAACAAACATTTTCTAAAACTCTCTTTTATTGCATGCAAAATTTAATTTTTTGTGTGCATAACGTAATCCTGGATACAGAAAAGCTGTTTTTTCCGTATATTTGGAAATTATTTTTTCAAAAAGGCTCAAAACGCCTCCTTCTTTTGTATGGCATGTTACTTTCATTATATCATTTGTGAGAGACAGCTTTAAAACAATTCAGGTCGTTTTGTATGAATTGTAAATGCAAGACCGTCCATCCTTTGGTGCTTCGAGTAAGCCAAAGTCTTTGTCACTTGCGTTCGGTGACGAACCCAACCCAAAGTTTTCAGAAATAAAATAAGAAAAAAAAAATCAAATTTTCGGTTTATGGAAAAATACTTATCATACGGTTTTCATTTATAGAAAAAGGTTTATTTCATTCATTTTTCTGTACGTGTGGCATTGTATGGAATTGTATGGAATTGTATGGTAAGAAGTTTTGGTCAACCCCGGACCTTTGCGCCCAAGGTGAATCGGAGGCGACGCGAGGATCCAGACCAAAGAGGAGATGGTGCGACCAAGAAACAAAATTTTGCAACCTTCATGGCCGATGGGGAGACGGCGTTCGTTTCCAGACCAAGGCGGTGATGGCATGAGCAAGAGAAAATTTCTAGCAGCTTTCGCAATTAATGTGGAGACGACACGACTTTCGCGACCGAGGTGGAGAAGGAGTGACTTTCGCGACCAAGGCAAGACGAGTTTTTCAGAGCAAGACGGAGACTGCGCGACTTTCCAGACGGCTGGTCGCGCAGTCGTGTGGAAAGTCGCGCAGTCTCTGTCTTTAATTGTTCGCGAAATAAACGCCGTCTCCAACTCTGATCTGGAAAGTGGCCCCTTCTCACCCCAATCACAAAAACCGCTAAAACTTTTCCCTGGTTGCGCTGACTCTACGTGTTGGTCTTTAAAGTCACGCAATCTCCGCCTCAGCCGTGTCTCCACGTCTCCACCTTTGCGACGACTCCACCTCAGCCGCAAAAACCACGCGAACTTTGTTCTTGATCGCGCCAAATACACCTTACTCGCGTTCCAGGCGACTGCGTTCCAAGCGACTGCGTGGAGTCGGCGCGATTAATGTGGAGTCGGCAGGACTTCCGCCACCATGCGGAGTCGGCCAATATGGAGTCGACGTTCCAGACGGCTGCGTGGAGTCGGCGCGATTAATGTGGAGTCGGCAGGACTTCCGCCACCATGTGGAGACGGGGAGACTTTCGCGACCACGGCGGAAGTGGCGCAAACAAGAAAATACTTCTCGCGGTTTCCAAGACAAATGTGGAGACATTATAATTTTGCGACAGAGGAAGAAACAGCGTAATTTCCGCAACCAAGGTGGAAATGGCGCAATTTTTCAGAGCAAGACGGAGACTGCGAGAGTTTCAAGATGACTGCACGACCCAGAATAGGTGTCTCGCTGCTTTTGCGACCGAGGTGGACACGGCACAACCTTCCAGGTCAAGGCGGAACGGCGCGACAATTGCAACCATACGTAGCGACTAAGAAAAAAAAGTTCGCGCGGTTTTCGCGACCCAGGTGGAGACGGAGCAGCATTCCAGATCAAATCAAGGTGAAACGGTGCGCCATTTTGCGACCAAGTTAGAGACGGCGCAACTTTCGCGACCGATGCGGAGATGGTGCGACCAAGAAAAATTGTCTGGCGGCTTTTGTGACAGACGTGAAGACGGTCCGAATTTCCAGACCAAGGCGGAGATGGCGCGACTAAGAGACAATTCCTGGCAATCCTCGCGGCCAACGTGAAGACGGTGTGACTTTCAAGAATATGGTGGTAGACGGCACCTTTTGCAATCGAGGTTGAGACGGTGCAACTAATTGCGACTAAAGTGTATTTGGCGCGATCAAGAACAAAGTTCGCGTGGTTTTTGCGGCTGAGGTAGAGACGTCGCAAACGTGGAGACGTGGAGACGCGGCTGAGGTGGAGATTGCGTGACTTTAAAGACCAACACGTGGAGTCGGCGCAACCAGGAAAAAGTTTTAGCGGTTTTTTTGATTGAGGTGAGAAGGGGCGACTTTCCAGATTAGAGTTGGAGACGGCGTTTATTTCGCGAACAATTAAAGATTGCGCGACTTTTGCGACCAAGGTGTAGTTGATGCGACTTTCACGACCAAGGAGGAGACGTCGCGACCACGAAAAAAGTTATCATAGTTTTCGTGAACTAGGCCGAGACCGCACGACTTTCGCGACCAATCAGAGACGGAGGAGAAAGGCAAGGCGGAGACGGCGCGGATTTCCAGACCAAGGGAGAATCTGCACGACCAAGAGACAATTCCTTGCAATCTTTGCGACCAACGTGGAGACGGCGCGACTCTCACGACCAAGGCGGAGACGGCGCGTCCAAGAAACAATTCGTCCAGACCTTCGCGAACAAGGTAGTGACGACGGCGACTTTCTAGACCTAGGCGGAGACAGCACAAAATTCAGACCAAGGCCGAGATGGCGCGACCCAGAAAAATCGTCTTTCAAATTTTGGACCGAGTTGAAATGTTGCAACTACCGGTATCAAGGTGGAGACGGCTCGGGTATTGCGACCGAAGTGGAGACGACTTGATCTTCGCGACAAAGGTGGGGACGGTGCGACTTCTGCGTCAAGGTGGAAACGGCTGAACACAGAAAGTCTTTTGGTCTACTTCTGCCACCGAGGTTGAGACTGCGCATTTTCCTGACCGACGTGGAAACGGCACGACTCTCGCGATTGAAATTAATACAGCTCGACTTTCGCGACCAAGATGTAGACGGTGCAACTTTCATAGTCGCGACGAAAAGTTGAAACTGGAAAGGCTGGAGATAACTTCGCGCCGTGGGTTGCGCCGCATACCGATTTACACTCAAATTTCAAGGTCGCGCTGAGAGTTTGTGTCTGGAAAGTCTCGAAATGGGTCGCGCGTGGGTCGCGATAATTTAGACATACCAAAATTTGGTCGCGGATGTCTGGACATGGGTCGCGAAAGTCCGGATATGGGTCTCGAAACGTTTGACTTGGGTCTCGAATGTCTGGAAATTCCAAAATTCGGTCGCGAAAGTCTGGGCATAAAGTCACGAAAGTGTAGTAAATGTGTGTCCAGACTTTCGCGACCAAATTTTGGAATATCCAGTTTTTTTTGCGAACCATGTTCAGTCTTTTACGAAAAATTTTTGATATTTCCAGACTACCACAACCCGCGTCAGATTTCGGCTTTTCAGATTCAAATTCTTGGCTTGTCTATGCGATTTGGGTCTAAATCCAGATGCGGGGCAATCCACAGAGTCTAGAGATGAGTTTGGAAAATCTAGACTTATGTCGCTCCGTGGGTCGCGATAGTCTGGCATGAACAAAACTTGTTGCGAAAGTCTGGAAAAAATCTGTCCAGATTTTTGCAACCAAAAATTTGTATGTCTAGATTTTGCAACTCATGTTTGGAACTTTGCGACCAAATTTGGATGCATTCAGACCACCGCAACCCACGGAGCGACACATCTCAGGACTTTCCAGCCTCAAACTTTCGGCGCGACAATGTAACATGGGTTTAAATCAGGGATGCGACGCGACTCACAAAGTCTTGACATGAGTTTGGGACCTCGACCCTTGAAGGCAACACAATCGTTTTATGACATTCCAAAAAATATCAATTAAACATATCAAAGCTCTTTAAGGCCCTGAATGTTGCGACTGTCATTTAAGTGATCTCTATTAGTTGTTGAATTAAAAAACTTCTTAAATCAAAAATTATGTACCGCAAACATCACACGCACTTGCCAAAACTTGAATAATAGAAGTAATATCATAAATTGAAGTTTGCCACAAAAAAATTGGGAAGGATAATTTGGATGATGCGGATGATTTGCCACGTATAAAATTTACGATTCAAACTTATCGAAAAGTTATAAGAGCAGCTGGTATCCTCATTTTAATCTATTCAATAAAATTGCCTGGCATAAAATTCAAGATCGATACCAATCCGCTGTCAGCTTTTTAAGAAATTGTTCTAAATTTGAAAAACAAACACTTCAGATATACAATTTCCTTAGTTTTTTCGAAAGTCGGACAACAAGCTTTATAACAAAAATAGTATCATTACTACGAAACTTTTTATGAAAGCATTTTGTTGTCAACAGCTGGTTCTTTATATTTTTGTGATTTGGATTAACGTGGAAATTCAAAAAAAAACAATTAACACATATTTAACTCAGTCAAAAAAAAACATTGCTGCTAAATTTGTATAACATTAGTAAACTAGTAAAAAACAATTTTTCAATATATTGAGAATGAGTAATACTAGTTCTTAAGGCTAAAAATTGGAAATGAAAACGTTATCGCTTTACAAACTATACATTATTGCTAAACAGTGTATTGAATATAATGTTTCGATATTTATCATTGAGTTTAGTTGAAAAGTTTGACTAGCATGTTCACAAAAAATTTTGAAAAACTCCATTCCTCAAAGTTTAATTATGCTTAATTTTCAATTAAGATTTGACGTTAATTTTCTTTTTTTCTTCTTTGTCTTTTGAAGGGAAAATTAGTAATGAGTTTTTCTTCATCTTAGCAGTCTTTTAAGCTCTGGTTGAGAACGATGAA